TCCCCGCCGTAATGAGCCAAAACGCTATAAACAGACAGAGATGCGGAAGATAAATATTAAGACGAGGGATGACCTAGGTGGAAATAATAAAAAAAATGAACCCAGCAACTTACCGGCAGTCACTGCATCGACCGCATGGCTGCACCAGACCTCGACAAGCGGCACAGTGACCACAGTCGCCAGCGGAAGTGTTGGCCGGACTGAGGCTGTTATTTGAGGTAGGCCTTGTTGCGTCACTGCTGGCGTCTGAGTGCCATTCTGATGAGTGGCTGCGAGACAGGTGGCCTAGTTTGTAGTTACGGGCAACCCTCTGTGCACCTGCGGTGGCTGCAGATGCTGCTAGGAGAGGACTGGCACCGCCTTGGGTTTGCGCGCCAACGGCAGCGAGTTTGGCCGCATGCACCATTGCAGACATGGTTTTCTCATAGTTTGAGTTTGCTGGTACAAAAAAGCAAATTTTGTTTTTGTTGCTACTTGTGCGGATTAAGTAGGCATCACTTAGTAGATTTTAACTCTCAATGAAACTTGGCGTAAGGATATCACGGGGTTTTTGATAATGACGAAATTTTATTATGGGGGGAGGCAGACTAATCAGAAAAAGAAAACAAAAAAGGTAAATCCACCAAAAGCGATGAACGCGGGCGTTTGGGTAACATACATCATGCACGTCGGATGTTCTCAAATGTATAGAACCTATCCAATAAAATAGACGAGCTCGTCCCCTTTGTTGACGAACTGTTCGTGTGAATCTTTAGTACATTCGTTAGAGCGCATCTGGAATACTGAACGCCACCATGGATGCCATGGGTGAAGAAAGACAGCGATCGGGAGCAAAGACGGCCGACAAAACTCCCGTACGGTCTTAGGACTCTGTCACGCCCAGACTCACGCTTACTTTGCATAACTTTGGACTCATTACGTAGTAGCAAGCATGTTTTTTTCACCAGAGAGGTACGACACGGTCCTTCTACATGGATCCTCTTAAACAGAAATCCTTAGCGTCCTGTGGTTAATTTTAGTTTAATTTTTACTT